TAACCCATATGATTATACACACATTAATACTTGTACTGAACGTACGGAAAACCACATGTGTAATAACAGTTCAAAATGTTGATGTGATATGGAACATACATGATGATGATATGGCTTGATGCATGACTTAAACTATCAGGGACACCCCTGGCTTAGTCTCACTTGACACGATCACCCCTGCACTCCGGTTGTCATACCGAAACGGTAATGAGCCGGGAACAAGTGGACTAGCAAAACTGTGTAGTAGCCGTAACCTGACTACTATGTACGTACACGAAGCCCACCTGATGAAAACCCGTTGGATCCCAAAGGTTCCTGGACGGGCCCACTGTAGTAGGCGCACGAAAGCCTGACTCCCTATAGCGGTATGCACATGATGATAAACCTAGGACATGCGTCTAAAATGAACATGATGAATGCTTGGTATATTTACCTTTGGTCAACGCCAAGAATATATCAATTAAATAAAATATATAATGAAGATTAATATTTCGTGCAAAAATACAAACTGATTCTGGGTCAATATGGTCAACGAGGCTCGTTCTACAAACTGCCCGAAGTTCTACCCGAAGAACGGTCGACCGTACCTTACTGGCGGTCGACCGTGAGCTACGATCTGGGTCTGGGACATAAACGGCCCACCGTCATGGCCGGCGGTCGACCGTCACGGTGGTGGCCGACGGACGGTCAAGGGAACGGTCCACCATCCGTAGCGGCGGTCGACCGTCCCAAAGACAGTCCTCTGTCCTTAGCTTCATTTTGATCCATTTTGAATACTTAACACCTTTATTCTTTTAGAACATTAATACAAACATTGATGAATACATTCCTAGTAATTTCTAGGCCATTATATATATAAGTTTTACGTAGTGAATGTTTTGATGGCTAACCTACGAACATGCATAGATTCTACGTCGGTTGCGTACGATATTCTTATGAATATAACGACATAGATTATAATTAAATGTTCTAGAATTAGAGGGGACAACTACTCACTTCTAAATGATGCGTTGAAACTACGAAGATGATAAGGAACGTTGACTACGCTTCGCACGAACGGCCTAGCTCTTCTTCTTCTTCTTCTCCCTCAACCGCACCCACCAGAGCTTCGTCGGAGACCTCCCTGGGCTGCTGCCCTGGCTGAACATGGGAAGGAGGAAGATGGATAGTGATGATGGAGACTTGATGATAGATTAGCAATGGGGGTTACAAAAATGGTGATGACGAGAATGGGGAGTGTATCTTATAATGATGGTGAGTTAGGAGAGTTAATGGGGAATTGAATTTGAGGAATGAAAGAGCATGGGCTGGACGTGTGAATGATGGAGGTTACAAATATATATTTTACTCCGTTATGTAAAACAAATTTTGCGTTTGCGTTTTTGGAATCAGACAGTCAAAACAAATTTAATGACATGTTCAAATAATTTTTCTAAGGATTTTATTTTCCCAACTTCGGTCCGAGTTAGTAATTAAGTAATTACGTCATCAGACCGTATCATGACCGTATCATGTCATCTCACCATAAGGTGTCATCTGACTGAGTCAATCCCATACACACACACACACACACACACACACACACACATATATATAGGGATCGACTCCAGTCAGATGACACATTATGGTCAGATGACAAGCTACGGTCAGATGACGCAAAGCTCACCACTGCCAACTGCAAAGCTCACCAAAATGTATGGCAAAACTCACCAAATTTTTTTCACACTTAGAATGAAAAAACCTAAGAGGTGCTGACTTTGACTCATGTCAACCACTAAATTTGACTGTTGATCGCCGCCTTGACCACCCTTGTCGCTGCCGCCGCCGGTCACCGGTCAATGGTGGTCGAAGTCATCCTTTGATTTTTCCAATTTTTCAACCTAAAAATTTGGTGAGCTTTGTGTGTATGTTTCGGTGAGCTTTGCATTCAAGAGTGGTGAGCTTTTTGGTTAGGGTTTATAAGGATTTAGACTTTAAAATTTTAAAAATTCAAAGTGTGAAAAAAACATGGTGACCTTTTCAATACAATTTGGTTAGCTTCAGAGTTGTATTTGGTGAGCTTTGCAGTGATTAGTGGTGAGCTTTGCGTCATCTGACCATAACATGTTACTTACCATAAAGTGTCATATGACTGGAGTCAATCCCATATATATATATATGTGTGTGTGTGTGTGTGTGTGTGTGTGTGTATGTATGTATGTATGTATGTATGTATTTCCTTTAACATTACTCCACAGTATGTTCAAGGAGCCATCAGGGCAGATGTATCTTTACCATTTTTGCGTTAATCAATAAAAAACCCCCTTTATTCAATATATATATATATATACATACACATACACATACACGAATATATATAGCATAGAGTGGACCTACATTGAGCTTGTTTTAAAGGGGTTTGATTTCTCTGAGTGGGCAGATAACATTCTCATGGCAAACCTCTCAAAAACACTTACATTAGTGTCCTCTTAAACGGAGAATCTACTGGCTTCTTCAAGATGTCAAGGGGGGTTAAGCAGGGAGATCCTCTTTCCCCACTTCTTTACATTATCAGGGGAGAAGTGTTAAGTAGGCTAATCAATCATCATATGGATACTAATTTTTCTCAACAGGTACAATGTTGGCAGTTTTAAAATGGTGAGCTACATCATTTATGCAGATGATCTCATCATATTTACGAAGGGAGACATCCGTAACCTGTTGAATATCAAAGCCGTTTTGAAGGATTACTTCACTACTTCCGGCCAGGATATGAACACCAACAAGAGTAGGTTCTACACCAACAAGCACACTCCTACTGTCCAGATTCTAAGGATGGAAATAGCCCTTAGCATAAAGTTAGGACATCTGCCTTTCACTTATTTCGGAACAACACTTTGCAGAGGGATCCTTAGAAAGAAACATTGTAGCAAACTTGTGGATCACTTTGAAAAGCACCTAATTTCCTGGTACAACAAAACTATCAACCAAATAGGGAGATTAGTTTTGATCAAACATGTTCTTTCTTCCATCCCCTTTCACCACTTAGCAGTTAACACCCTCCCCATATCCATCATCAAAACCTTCCACTTTCTAATTTGGAAATTCTTCTGGGTAACAAACATGGGAAATCGAAATATCTTGAAAACGCTGGGACTTCCTCTGTCATCCTAAAAATGTAGGAGGGCTAGGAATAAGGGACTTGGAGACCATCCAAGAGGCATACTCCCTTGAACTTTGGTGGAAAACTCACTATGACAATGGCTTATGGGCTACTTACATGAGGGCCAAGTATCTCAAAGGGAATGTAATGCAAGGAGAGAATCATTGACTCGCCAACCTGAAGAGGATCTGCAGAATAAATTACATTGCGCAAGACCACAACTCTTTACAAAATAACTCACTTACTTGGGATGGGGATCCTTTTTCCTTGAAGATTTCTTTTGACAGCTTCAATGGAGCTTATCTAAACCTCATCACAACAAAATTCATTTGGCACAAATTCTAAATTACCAAACTCAAGACCTTCATTTGGAAAGCTCTTTATGGCTGCCTCCCCTTTCCCTTGTACTTGCAAAGGTTCAACTATCAACTTCTAAGCATCTGCTGTCTCCGTCGCGCGTATGATAACACATTGGATCACTCCCTACTCTCCCGCGCATATAGTAGGAACATTTGGAACTACTTCGCCAGCTTGGTTTCCAGTCCCCTCCATCAAAAAGTACTTTACCTTCATCAACACCTACTTGCATGGTGGTACTCAAGGAATCAAAAGAGTTTCAAAGGGAACCTAAGAATAATCTTACATGCTATCATTTTTCGGAATCTATGGAAGGCCAGGAGCAGTTACATTTATGAAGGCAAATTAGTCACTCAAGAATGCGACATACAACAGTGCTTCCAACTAATTTAAAGTTAGTCTTGGGTCAGTAGAAACAACAAATGGATGGTTTTTGATGAAAATTTAAAAGGTTGGGGTATTAATCAGTTCTGGCTCAAGGGAAAGAACTTGAACTTCTTCACTTCTCATTGATTTTGTACCATGCATCTATGGTTGTTGTTCTGCTTTCATTTCCTGTATTGTACTCCTTCCTTTCTTTTATTAATAATACAACTCCTTTAAAATTATATATATATATATATATATATATATATATATATAGGTTTTGGTTCTGATAAGAATGAGATCTAAAGAAAGAAATAAGAATGAATAATAACCCTTGGATTTGATCTCATCCCTTCCTTCTTATTACATTTCACAAGGGAATTTAAAGATTTTCAAACACACTACTTTAATTGTGTTCTCAATCCGCTGCTCTTCTTCTCCGGAAAATCTGCTCACCATCTTTTGTCCTTTCAGAGTTTCAGTTTCCGTTTTTCATGAATTTAGCTCCATTTTTTACGCCATTAAACAACACATCGAATGATTCTTCCACCCGAATCTGGTATGCTCCAAAGATAAAACCTTTACATTTTATCAATTCTTTATTTAATTTGTCATGAGTGAATTCATTACTTTTGAATATATTCTTCTACAGATCTGGATATGATTTATGAATTTAAGATTTTCTAATATTTAGTTTTATTCCTTTTATGTGGTTTGACCTTTGTGGATAAACTCTACATAGAGTTTTCAATTCAGAGCAAAAAATATGCTGGTTAGTATTAGGAAGTATAATTAAATTAGGATACTTCTTTCCTTTCCTACTAGGATTATTCTTTCTTTTCCTACTTGTACTTTGATTACTTTTGTATTCCCTATATATAGAGCCATATCTCTCAATATTCAATAAGACAAGTTATTATCAAATTGTATCATGGTATCGGAGCTAAGGCTCTCAAAAACCTAGCCTCTCTTTTTTTTCCGACCGCCGCCCACCATGGCAGCCCCGTCGGATCCTTTGGCGTCCTTACCCTCTGGAGTAAAACTTTTGCTTCGAAGTCTCCACAACTTAATCCCAGAAAAACTCACCGAAACAAATTATCCGGCATGGTCTCTCAATGTCCAGACAGCTCTTTCAGCTAATCTCCTCCTTGGATGGATTGATGGTCATGAAGCAGCCCCGGCGCCAACTATCTCCAAAAACGATAAAACCGTCCCTAATCCAGAGTATACCTCCTGGACCATCGTTGACACACAGATCCGCGCCTGCCTCCTAGCGGTCATCAGCCCCTCCGTTCACAAACATGCTCGCGGCTTCACCACATCTGCTGCCCTCTGGGATGCTTTGGCCGCACGGTACAACTC